AGCACTGGGTGTTATGCACAAACAACGGATCGTGGATCACTACATCAAAAACTAATGATGTAATGTATGGTGATTAACAATAAAAATTTAAAAATAAATAAAATATTATTTACACTACAAAAAAAAAGAACGTCACGATCTATGATTCTGAGGTTAAATGATGTGATGTCTTGCAGCTTACTCTTTTAAAATTTCAGCAAAACGAACCAACTGTGTCCGAATGTTAAGAACTATTAAATTTAGATGACAAGCTTACGGAAATTCGTTATGCTATTCTACCTGTCATTTAGAAATGTTAAAATGATAAAAAAGTAAAGTATAAAAATAACGTTCTAGGCCCCCGTATCCATCACTTCTCATCACAGCAGAGCCCAACTACAACGAGTCTTACCGGATCTGTTCCATGGCTTTCCACGTCAGGGTCCTGGGCGGGGCACCCGGCGCCTCCATTTGCCTCCGAATTTTCTGGAACCGGGCGGCTTTTTTCTGTCGTTTCAGGGTGCTGGGGGAGAGAACCAATGGCAGAAGCCATGCGTGGGAGCAAACTGGGTGGCTGAAGAGCCTCGGGCTAAATCACAAAGAGCCCAGCCCTCTTCTCTTCGTTTGCAAGGGCAACCAGGCCATGTGTGTTGGCTCAGACCTGCTCCATACACCTCCCCAGAAATCTAATACCTAACACAGCCCGTAAGCATGCCGAACTTTCTAAACGGGTGGTGAAATACGTCACTGGTGAAGAAAGCTGTGGTCCCAAAGAGGCCGCACGCCTGCCCCTGCGCCCCTGACAACGGATAAGAAACAAGGGCTAAGGCGGATGTGGCGGCACGACGCCCGGCTCCAAGGGGGCGCGGCCTGGAGCGCAGGGGCGCGAAGCCCTACTTCAGGCTGAGGGCCCGGGAAGGAGCCGGTACCTCTCCACCTCCTGCAGCTCCCGCTCCTCCGGCTCCCAGTCGGAATCAGGGTCCGGCTCGCGGCCGAGAGAGCCGGGGTCTGCCAACCCCCGGGTCGCGAACCCACAGCGAGCAACAGCAGCACGTACACGCACGCCCAGCAAGAGGCTCAGCGTAACCGCCATGTCGACAACAGCCGTCGGCAGCCCGAAACACGCAGTACCGGAAGTCTGGGGGCGGGGGCGGAAGTGGACCGGCGGGCCGGAAGCAGGGATGGCCGCGAGTCTTTCCGGCTTCCGGCCGGGGGCGGGATATCTGGGCTTGAACCCGTGTGCGGCCCACCATTCCCGGCAGCGAATGTGGAGAGTTTTGAGCCTGAAATGCAAGGGCCGGAATGAGGTAGAGGACGCTCCTGCAAAACGCCATAAACTTTAATAAAAAGACGGATTCATTTGCCAAGATACGCCCCTGCGCCCCAACGGCTACCCAGGCCGGCCTGTCTCCGCCACGGCGGCGGAAAGGGCGTCCCCTCGGCGGTCCTTTGATGGCGACAGCCCCGTGCCTTAGGCACTCGGCTCCTGTGGGAAAGGGCCTCCTTGTCGCCAGGATGACCTCTAGCTCCGGGCCGCACCCGGGGTTCAGACCCATCACCTAGCAAGAAACCCAGGCTAAGGTTTGAAGGGCGGGGATGAGTACATGGCCGACCCTGGCTCCTCTTCATCTTTCAGTCTTTACGGATCTGAAAATAATCTTAGGGTATTGAGGAATTCTTGGTGTCTTTGTGTTTTGCCTTGTGCAAACAGGGTTCCTGGCCAGGGCTTTTCAAACTGAAGCTTGGTGGCCGTCTTTCATGTAGCAAAGATTGAAGGCCCTCTGCCCCTTTGGAAACCTGAGGGGGCTCTCCAGGAAAGGTTGAGTGCTGGGCTTCCATCCTGCATTTACCTATGGTGGCTGATGTCAAGGAGGGCAGTGGTGCTTAGCATCAGGGGTGCAGAGGCAGGGCAGAGAGTGAGATCCCGGGTCTTGGGTGCTCTGTGTTCAGAGTCTGCCGCGGGGGGCAAGGCGCATTCAGTCCATGAGCCACTTGCCACTCTTTCTGGTTGCAGAAGATAGCCCTGCTTTGGGGTTAAAGAGGATGGCACTGATCCTGCCAGGGCTCTGTTTATGGCTTCTAGCCTTCTGCTGGCTGGGCCTTCTGCAGTGGAAACATGGGTCCCCTGAGTTGGTATTCACAGGAGATTCGCTCACCCCTTTACCAACTGTTGCCCAATTACCAACACAGAGGAATGGCATCCCATGCTCCCCTCCAGCATCTTTACCACACTGTATTGTAATTGTGTGTTTACTTGTCTGTTTCCCTGTTATGTTTGTTGAGTGCTGGGACTGTAATTCTGCCATTTCTACCACGGTCCACTACCTATCCCATTCCCACACTGGTGGAAGTGCCATGTTATATTTTGGGAACATCCCAGCTGTGATGTTTGCTAGGGGGAATTTACACAAGTCAGAGTGACCAAAGCTAGTTTCGCATACTTACGGCTAGTGAGCCTGACTCTGGCACTGGAAAAAGAGCGCCCTCCAGATGTCTTCACTGACAATGAACAGGGGCCGATGGCTGCTGGATCTCCTATCCAGTTGAAGTTCTTGGGCTGTAGGTGGCACCAGGAATGATGTGGAATTGCAGCATTCATGGTTGGCAGTGGCCCTAAGATCCTGGGGATCAATTCGTGGGCCCGAACTGGATGCAGGAAATGAGGGCGGCCCTGCTCTTTGGCAGCCCCTCTCAGGAGGACCAATGGGACCAGACTCCCAGATTGCAGTTCTTGACTGCCCAGCCCGTCCTGGTGAAATCTAGGCTAGAGGAGAAGGGCAGCCCCTTACCACATTTCTTGTGAGGCTGGATGGAACGGTGTGAGAAAACAGGTAACTGAAACATCTAGGCTGTGGCCACTATTTAACCTGTTAACTCCTTTGGAGCTCAGCAAAAACTGAGGACCCAACAGGCCTGCTACGAGCCCAGGGAATAGTGAATGCGGCAGCGGTTCTGTTGGCCCAAGTCCGTTTACTTATCACCCATTAGAGCCATGGCACTGGCATTGCTAGGGAGAGATTCCACAGAAGCCACCGAGGGTTCTTGTTCTTTGTCAATCATGAGTTTGGGGTTATTGCAAGGCTGGAATATAGGGAACAGGTCTCTCAGGAGAAGGTTGGGAGCTGCACTTTGCCAGAAGTCATTACTACAAACAAGGGAGCTCGGGAACAAGTGCAAAAGGAACCCAGAGACCCTCTCCCAACACCCAGCATACTCTGCTTTCCCAGGCTCCGCGCCAGGTACCATCACGTTAGCGGCCAGCGCTGTGACCACCACCATGTGCTGCTGCAGCCCTTCCTCCCTTGCTCTGTGAGAGGCCGCGGACGGACCCTCACCCGATACTCATGAAGTTTTTTCTGGCCCTGGTGGCTGGGGTGCAGCATGCGCGTGAGCTGCTCTACAATACCGAGGCTTCGGATGAGATTCTCCCTTTGTAGCAGGGCCTTCACTCGCTCCAGCTCCTCTTCTTCCACAATTTCCTGAGGATGCCTGGTATCCAGGTGTACTGATAGTAGCTATGAGATACATGAGAGATGAATGCAAGATCTCCAAGGGTGAGCCCCACACCATCAACGGGGATGGCTGCGGGACTCCTGCCCACTCTACCCACCCTCCCATCCCTTCCCTGACCCTAGCGGAAGGTTCTCTTTGCTATCGTTCTCTCTCTCACCTCCTGGTCCACCAGGCCAGATCCAGTGTATTCATTAGGAACTCCTCTCTCTCTTTTACAAGGGGAGGAGAGGACAGCAAAGATTCCCTTCTCTAGGAGTCCCAACCCATTTCCTGCAGAAAGGCAAGAGCTCCCAAACCCCTGACACCTCTTTCTCCTGGGTCCGGTTCCTGTAAGCCAAGTGGGTGGAAAGTCCCCGGAGCCCGGCCCTGGATCGGCTCTTCTCCCCTGCTGATTCGCCCTGGTTCTGGTCCCTGTTTTCCTTTCGCCTCTTACTGCCTGAGGTCTCCTGCTGTTCCTGCTTAAGGCGGATCTCTTCCAGTTGCTGCCTGACAAGACACAGCAGCTTCAGATGCTGGAGAAATTGTGTTGGGGAGAAGCAGGGTGAGGGAAAGTGGGGATGGGAGAGTGTGGAATTATGATCTGTTGGGGGCACTGACGGGAGAAGAATGAGGGGGAAGATGGGAAACCTCCTAAGTGGAAATGGAGTCACTAAGAGTCTGATAGGATGTATGACTCCATTCCCCTTTGCTCAAGTGTCTGGCTTCCTCTCTACCCTGCTGGGGAGCAGTTCAGCTTCAGGATATGCCCCACCCAAGTGGACAGAGGAGAATGAAAGGCAAAGTACCTGGCACACTCCTCTCTGGCCTTGGAAGCAGCAGTCTCCTGGAAAAGGGAGCCATTGTGCTTGAAGAAAGGCGTGTACTTCTCCTTGTCAGGCCCAGGGTAGATCCGCCGGTACCCCCCGAGGTGGGAATCCTCATAGCGCTCCTGGTCCAGTATTGCTGCGTGGGACGACTCAATTTGTTCTCGCCTATGGAAACCAAGCTCAGAGTGAGTCAGGAGGATTGTGAGAACGTTCAGTGAGGAAAGGAAGGCTGGCCGAGGCTTTGAGGATCTCCTGCTAGCTTCATGGCCTTTCCCACGTAGGGAAAGCTGCCAAGGCCATCTGGCCAGTCCCACCTGTGCGTCGCCATGGAAATAGAGGCTTGACTTCCAGAAATCGGGTTTTCATCTTAAGTGCAAAGGGGTCCCGTCATAAGCTAGTACTCCAAGTTATCACAATCTTTTACGTTTCTGATTATAATCTATGTTAATTACAGAAAAAGCAGAAGCGCAAAAAGAAGATCAAACCTCCCATAATCTTACTGTGCAGTTAGTATATTGGTTATGAGCATGGACTCAGGGGCAGGACCCCCAAGTCTGAATCCTAGCTTTGCTACTAACTAATTTGCTCTTTCTTTATTCCTTCCTTCCTTTCTTGTTTCAGACAAAGATGGGATCATACAACAATATTTTTAAATGGCTTTCCAGTATTCAAGTGATTCTATGATTGTACTTTTATTTATTTATTTTTTAAGATTTTATTTATTTATCTGACGGAGAGAGACACAGCGAGAGAGGGAACACAAGCAGGGGGAGTGGGAGAGGGAGAAGCAGGCTTCCCGCAGAGCAGGGAGCCCAATGCGGGGCTCGATCCCAGGACTCTGGGATCATGACCTGAGCTGAAGGCAGACGCCTAACGACTGAGCCACCCAGGCGCCCCTATTTTTAATTTTTTTAAAGATCTTATTTTTAAGTAATCTCTACACCCAACGTGAAGTTCGAACTCACAATCCCGAGAACAAGAGTCACATACACTCATAGAATCACTTGAATACTAGGAAGCCAATTTAACTATTGGACTTACTAAACAAACATACAGGGCGCCCCTGTATGTTTGTTTAGTAAGTCCAGTAATTTTCAGCCCTTTTCCCCGCTGAAGGACATGATTCATACAGTCACGTGTGCAGTCCCACTGTGGGAATAGCCAGCGTATTTACAGTTCTACTTCCCCTCCCTTCACACATTTGACTGCCTACTGTGTGCCAGGCCCTCAGGAAATCATGACAAATCAAATACACACTGGCCCTGCATAGTGCAATGCAGGTGGCGAAGAGCAATGTTGTTATGGGAATAATTCTAAATCTACTCCAACTCACTTGTACGTATTATTAACATTATAATTTAGTATTGGCAACAAATCACCATGTTTGTAACCCATCTTATAATGAAAGCAACAGGGGGTGAAAAAGACTGATTTCAACAATCCCTTATTATTGAATGACTAAACTGTTTTCTGTTTCATTATTACAAACTTCCTAGAGGAGCTTTGTTAAAAAAAACAAAAGCAAGAACAAACAGCTCGTCAAACTGCATAAAGCTCCTTATGCGCTAATATGAAATAGCTCCAAACGACACTGCTAAGCATGGTACAGAGAGTGTGAAAGTTACACTATTGTCTGGGTAAAGGGAGAAGAACAATCTGTATAAATATATATGTATATGCGTAGGTATGTATGCATTAAATGTTTGTGAAAGTATACATGTGACCCTAGGAACATAGATTAGCTCCTCCAGGGGGGGATACAGTAGCTGGAGAAGAGTTAAGAGATTATTCACAGTATCTTTTGAATTTTTTTTTTTTCAAAGATTTTATTTATTTATTTGAGACAGAGTGAGAGAGAGAGAGAGAGAGAGCTCATGAGAGGGGAGAGGGTCAGAGGGAGAAGCAGACTCCCTGCCGAGCAGGGAGCCCGATGCGGGACTCGATCCCGGGACCCCAGGATCATGACCTGAGCCGAAGGCAGTCGCTTAACCGACTGAGCCACCCAGGCGCCCCTCTTTTGAATTTTGGACATATTGTCTATGATAGGTAATATATTATCTATGCAGAAGAAAAGTTATTCTTCATAGCTAATCAGCCCCAGACCACTTTCACCACCTAAAGTAGCGCTCTTCCGCCCAGGCCAGTGCTAACAAGACAGCTCAGACACCTGGAGCACCTGGCTTCTCGTGGCTGCTGGTGGCACTGGAAAAGCCGCTCCTTGACTCGCCGCTTGTCCTCCTCCATCACCTTCCTTTTGTCACAGCCACGGAGGTTGACAAGGGTCATGGCATCACAGAGAAGGGTATCTTTCACTTCTCGATCAAGGCGGGAGTCGGTGGTGAAGCTTGGAGAGTGGTTTACCTGCCAGGAGGAGTCATTATCCACCCCGTTCCTAGACCACCCAAGCAGGTGTGGTCTCTTGCAGGCCTGACCGGAGGCTCTAGTCAAGACATCCCAAGGGGGCTGGGTGTTTCTGACTTCCAAGGCCACAGGACTCGGCCACAGAGATCCCTCCAATACACAGGCTGATGGGAGCAAAGTAGACAGCCTGATTCTATAGATACAGTGTCCCTAAAGACAAAGATTACATGACGAACACTTGGGATCTAAATCCTCGATTCCTATGGTGGAGGCCAGAGACCACTAAGATTTGACTCAGCAGGTGGAAAGCAGAGAGATGATCTTACACGTTCTGCCGGTTCATCCCCACCCAGTGCCACCACGTCCCCCATTCTGTGTTCCACCAACTGAGTGCACTCCTACCCCAGGCATCCTGTTCAGGGCGGCCTCTGGACCTTGGTTTGGCAAAGCCCAAAAGACATTCCTCACCTCCAGCAGCCAGGGCTTCAGCTTGTGGTCCAGCAAGATGTCAAAACCAAGGATCTCAAAACAGGCGCATGTACCTCCAGTCAGATATTGGGGAAAACACGTTCGGTAGTTGTGGCGAAGAACAGAATGGGCTGAGATGATGGTTTTGATGATGATGTCCTCGATGTCCCTCCACAGTTCTCGGGGGTCGTAGCCGTGTTCTCGCAGCCAGGCGTTGAGCGTTGACAGCTTCCTGCGAGGCCCAGTGCTCAGAGGAGGACACATTTCTACACCAGTGGGTCTGGGCCACAGACAGGAGTGCCCCTACCACTAATCCTACTTCCGGGTGCCTACGTGAGAGCTTGAAGTGGGGCTTACTTATGGTGGGGGGGGGAGCGCTGCACTTAGAGGTCAGGCACAAGACGGGTCTGTAAAGATGGTTTTCCTGAGCAAATGGCCTCCCAAGAGCCAGCTCAGTTTCATGGGCTGCTGCGACTGTAGGACTAAAGAGCAATCAGAGAGGGAGTACCTCTTACTGCCCGCAGCATCATCTCGGACAAAATTCTCATTGTGTTTGTTGATAGCATAGTTGGTCAGGTGCATGCAGACGTCATCCTGGGAAGAGAGTGGCCCTGTGGCTCAGACTGCTTCCCTGCAGCACCCCACTCCAGCCCTTCGTTGCCTTTTTATTACCCAGGGTGGCTCATCTCCTGTCCCTCTTCACCTCAGAACTGTCCCATAAGCTCCCGGGGAAGGATGTAGGCCAGGCTCCTCCAAGGAGGACCTTGCAGCAGTCACCACCCACCAAACGCTCTCCTCCCCGCCAGGTGCCAGGGTGCTCACTGGTTCATTCCCAGTTCACGGATGACCATGATAAGCCTCTCTACTTGGTTTCTCCACAGAACCTCTGTGCTCACAGGAAGAGGTCGCCGCCCTGCCCCCCAGGACTGCTAGCTGGCCCCTTACCAGGTTGCCGTGGCTGGGCTCCATGTAGGGCATAGTGGCAAAGCGGGCCAGGCCCTCCTCATACATGAAGATCCGAAGAGGGTCACAGGACGTGATCAGGACATAGATTCGCATATCAAACTTGAAGCCGTCAATGAGGAAGGGCTGAAAGTGTGCAAACCCGCCAGGGAAGAATACCTCTGAAGCGCCTGTTCTATCCCATGCACTGTTGTAAGCGTTTCAAATTATGATAACTCATTTAATTTCCATAGTAACCATATGAAGCATAAAGTAGTTACTGCTATTATTCCCATTCAACAAATGAAGAAACTAAGGCACAGAAAGAATAAGACATTGCCCAAGATCACACATCTAAGAAGTGGGAAAACTCAGATTCAGACCCAGACAGGCTGGCTCTGAACCATGGCTCTGGACTGCCTCCAAGTTAAGGGGAAACAGCAGGAAGGGTAGGAGCCGAAGGGTAGGCTGGCTTCCTCTCTGGCACGGGGAGAGACGAGGCGCCCCAGGGCTCAGGGAGGGCCCTGGTGGTTCCGAGGCACCCTTCACCTTGGAGATGTATTGCTGGCAGATCATATGCTCTCCTGGCTTGATCTCCCGGGGATTTCGGGTGATGAAGATGCCCCGTCCCTGGCAGCCACTGTCTGGCTTGCAGATGTAAGTGCGGCTTTTTCGCTGACGACCATAGGACTGGAAGTCCCCAAAGCTACATGCAGAGAGAGGCTGGTCAGAAGGCTTCTGTGCATCACAGCTGAGCCAGGCCCTGTGGAGCTCTGCTCTCCGGTCCACACTTCCTGGAGCCTCCGTCTCAGACCTCCTTTTCTTAGACCAGCTGAAATTCTCATCCCTTGAGACTTTCTAGGTCACAAGGCCAGAGTCTGGAGGGAACGAGATGGTGAAACCTTTCCTCCCCAAGGACATGAGCCTGGGGAGCAGGGGCTCACTCACTCTGCAGGGAGGCACCAGGTGCGGGGGAAGATGTTGTACTCGGTAGGATAGAGTTTCTGCATGCGGTTGAGGTTCCGAGCCAGCAGATCTTTGCGGCAGATTTCTGTCATTCCAGGGAAGTGGTTGATTTTCTGAAACAGAGTCAGTTGGTTATCTAACCCCACCAGCAGAGTAAGCGGCAGTCCCTGGGGCCTTGGGCATACCAGGAGGACTGGGAAGGTCAAGGTAGAAGTCACAGTGGATGGGGCTCCTGGGTGGCTCAGTCGGTTGGGCATCCGACTCTGCATTTCAGCTCAGGTCATGATCTCAGGGTCCTGAGATCGAGCCCCTCATTGGGTTCTGTGCTGAGCGTGGAGCCTGCTTGGGATTCTTTCTCTTTCCCTCTCCCTCTGTTCCTCACCCCCTGCCCACCACAAGCGCATGCACACGCGCTCTCTCTCTCTCTCTCTCAAAAAAAGGGGGTGGTGCCTGGGTGGCTCAGTTGGTTAAGCGTCTGGCTTCAGTTCAGGTCATGATCTCAGGGTCCTGCGATCGAGCCCCACCTTGGGCTCCCCGCTCAGCACAGAACCCAATGCTTCTCCCTCTGCTCCTCCCCCCTGCTTGTGTTCTCTCTCTCTCAAATAAATAAAA